AGAGGCATTGTCATGGGAAATGTATCAGTTAACGATGACTAAATTTAACAGCCAGGCTTGTTTAAATTTTAAGCCATATAGGTTGACTCTGATTGGACAGAACATTGTGCTAAGAAACGAACCAGAGAACCGCTGCCACGTATTTTGTTGAATTGAAGCAGGTGCAATGTATGTACATGTTCCTTCTGTTGGCAAGGAATAGGGCCCTGTGCCCCTCTGTATATAGCTTCTAGTACACGTAGGTGTGCCAGACTGTGAGCCTGACTAACAATTCTAAATTGTTATCCGTGTAATTCTTTGCACATTTGGGAATGTTTTGCAAATACTGTCCCTTGAGGAATTATATCTAATGCTGGAGGTTGTGTTGTGAATATTGTAAGCATGGACTGGTTGGGGACGGTCAGTACATTGCTTCTTGTGAACAGCTGAAGAGATATGCTGTTTACCCAATCTGTTTCAGATTACCTTCAAAGGTCAAGATATCTCAAAGGTTCAAGCAACAGCAAAGTGGGGATAATAGCAACACAAGTGGTTTTCGCCACTAGCAGAAAGCTACTATCAACTCAAAAAGACATTCTGACAATCATACAAATGAGCAAAGCGGTATATGAATTTCCGTGCTGGTGTGATATTAGCTATATAGACTGAGTGTCCCAAAGACAGGCGAAAAGAGTCAACTAGCATTCCCGATCAGCTGCTTACATTCTAGTGCATTCTCCATGGTAGTGCCTTTGCTAATCAGCATTTAGTTGGCAAGCAATCAGCATTTTCACTGAATTAAGTCTTTCCCTTCGGCTAAGCAGGAATGTGTTGTGAGGAAGATATAAAGATTTGTTCAGAAGGATTTGGACAGGCTTAGTGGCTGTGCTTGAACTTTGCAGACCAAATATAATGTGAAAAATGGTGAAGTTATCCACGTTGATGGGAAGAACATTCTGAGGAAGGGTCACTGGACCTGAAACGTTAACTCTAACTTCTCTCCACAGATGCTGCCAGACCTGCTGAGCTTTTCCAGCAATTTCTGTTTTTGTTTCTGATTTCCAACATCTGCAGTTCTTTCAGTTTTTATTTAATAGAAAAAACAGATGGGCAGAGTTTTTTTTTTAAATACTGAGAAGTTGGAAAGCATAGATGTGCAAAGGGACCCAGGCATCCTTGTCGATAAGTCACTGAGGGCTAACGTACAGTTGTACCAAGCTATTAAGAAAGCTAGTAGAATGTTAGCCTTTATTGAACGAGGATTTGAATACAGGAGCAGTGAAATTTTGTATCAATTGTATAGCAGCTTTGTTAGTCCACACCTGGAGCATTGTATGCAGTTTAGGTCTCTTTATCTCATGAAAGGTATTGCTGCAATAGACAGAACACAACGAACATTCACCAGGCTTGTTCCCAGGTTGTGGAAACTGTCCAATGAAGACAGGCTGTGTAATCTGGGCCTGTATTCGCTGCAATTTTGAAGAATGAGAGGCAATGTCATTGAATGCTAAAAAATACTTAAAGGGATAGACAGGATAGATGCAGGTAAGATATTTCCCCTGATTGGGGAGTCTAAGAGGCACAAAATAAATAAGGGGATACCATTTAGGACCAACAAAATAATTGTTTTTTTACACAGAGGGTGTTGAATATTCAGAATTCTCTATCCCTGGAGGGCTGTGAAAGCTTAGTCATTGAGTATATTTAGGGGTTGATAAATTATTACTAATGGCATAAAACATTTGGGGGATACTGTAGGTAAAAGGCATTGAAATATTCAATCAACCATAAGCATATTAAATGGTGCAGTAGATTCATTAGACTGAGTGGACTACTGAGTGAGTGTTCAGAAAAAAGTGACACTGACCATATATGTGATATCAGTCATACCTCTCACATTTAGCAGTATAACCAGCCAATAAACACCTGAAATACCTTTAAATTGCTAGCTGCTTTCCACAGGGAGTTCATGATCTTCACTGGTCTGAAGAAACAAGGTATCCATTACCTCCATGATGCAATTGCAAACTGCAAGCTATGCGGGCTGATAAATAACGACAGAAACGATCAGCAGTAGCAATGTGGTGCATAGCTGATTCTGCTAATTGTGTGTCACTTTTTATTTTGTGCACATGCACAGTAAGGGGCATCTTACATGGGATCTTTTGGGTCAATGTGCATTCCTGCATCTTACAGGGAAACATTGCAAAACAAAGGCATAGATACTCTACGCAGGGGGCATTGTGGTACAGAAAATGCATTTTGGAGCCATCAAGTCATATGCATACAGACTAACACAAACATACCATATATGACCCTAATAGCCTGGTATGTGGTTAATGTACATGTTGTCAGTACCACAGATACCACCTTGGAAGATATATGTAACAGGTGCCTTTAAACCAGACAGTATGACACAAATCAATTGTGACTAATGTGCGTTGGATGTCCTGCATCACATTAATGGCTTCTTGATGTTACTGTGCATAATCCCTCTGCTATTTTCACTATTCCAATGTTAATTTTATTCCTCTCCCTCTCCTCAGCTAAAAGGCTCAGTTTCTGGCTCCTTTCCCCATTGCCAGTCATATCTTGGTTTACAACTATTCTTCACCTGCATCTCTCTGCAGTGAGCTTCAGCTGACTACTTCCTGCTTGAGTTATCAGATGCAAATTAGAACAAGGTTTTGCAATGGCTTTCGCTCTATCTCGTAGAACTAAAGCCAACTGTGACCTACTGCAGGCTCAATAAAAGTAGGGAATTTAGCAAGACCAGAGAGTGAACCTTACTGTTCTGTACAGCTCAATAACTCACACCTTTAACCAGCTCAACCTCCAGAGGCTCATCTTTCCTCTTTTGAATTTAACTCAAGAGGTCACTACAAAAAAAACCTCTAATTCAAAGTGAAGAAAAGCACAAGGTCCATTAGTGTAAACTATTCTCATCTTTACTTTATCAGTATGTTTTTTTTAAGTTTAAATGCCACTCAAGCAGATGCAGATTTCAATCCCATTTTCAAAACCCTTACAACCTAGAAAATACTTGACAGCTCCTAGCAGGATAAAGCAACACCTTTTGCCTGGTTATCCAATTTTCTCAAGAGCAGTGACAGTTATTAGCTTGTAGACAGCATAAAAGAACCTCTTATCTCAAACCTGCTAGCCTTAATGCGTTGTTAATGATTAGCATCCAGTCAGAAACAGCAATGGAAAAGGGAAAGCAAATCTGCAAGTTACAGATAAACGTCTGCATTTTACACTTGTCATAAAAATCAGATGCATTTACTAAACCCCTGAAGTTTGCATTTCACAGAAATAGAATATTATTCTTGAAATCAAGAATGAAAAATGCATACACAACATGCTTTACATATTTGTCCAAAATCTGTCATATGTTGTTCTATCATGTTTACTGCAGGGACAACATTTAGATTTGAGTGATATTCTATTCTCTTACATGAATAGTTATTCATTTTCTCCAACCTATGTTGTTGAGTAAGGACTAAATGTACAAATGATAACATCTTGGTTTCCTTATAACATTAGATCAAAGGTCTTATATAAACTGGAATTTCATTTCAACTTTCATCATATGATATGAAAAAATATAGAAAAAAATTACCGGAACGTACAATATTTGTTTTATGTCAATCAAATGATGCAGTTAGTTAAGTTGAAAGTCAAATGCAGCTGTATAAGAAATGAAATTTACAGAACAGTACCATGACTAATGTAAGCACAGTGCCGCACTTTCAAATCTTCAAGTGAGACGATTGCTAATGAAACAAGGCACAGGAACAGTACAGTACAACCTATTGATCTAAAAAGATTTATTTTCAGCAATCAGTGACCCACTTTTACAGTATTCTCATAATCAGTTTGATGCTCAATGATACTTGACAAGTCCCACAGGTTTACAGGGGAGTGCCGGATGCCAAGTCTGCCCTTCCTTCTGATTTCAATGCCAAGCTGAACTAACTATTTTTCTCAGGAGGTTTTATACTTTTCATCATGCAAAAATATCAAAGAACTTTTGTAACTGCTGGAAGGCCAGTGTAAAATTAAATGTCAATCCAGCAAATAACTCAACACAGAGATCATGACTTGACATCTGATACAACTGTGATTACACCACTTGTCTTTTTTTAAAAAGACAGATGAAGATTATTAGACGATGTCTTGTGGTGCAGTGGGTCGCTGTATCTGCACCAGAAGCTCCAGGTTCAAGTCCTGCTCCAGGACTTGATGGTCAAGGATGGTGTGCTCATAAGGGGAGACAGTGGTGTGGTGGTAATTTCACTGGATCAGTAACTTAGAGGCCCAGACCAATATTCTGGGGGCATGAGTTCAAATTCTACCAGGGCAGCTGGTGAAATTAATGAATGTGAAATTAAAATGGTGACCATAAAACCCATTCATTTCACTAATACCCTCTACAGATGAAATCTGCCCCCTTTGCATAGCTCTCAACAGTCACAATAATCAAGGACAATTAGGAATGGCCAACAAATGGGGGCCTTGCCCACAACTCATGAAAGAATAAACAAAAAATGCAGCGTTTATGTTAGGTGGCAACAGCAGGGCCTGGGACAGGGGGAATATACCACTTTCCAGGGCTCAAGGGAGCCTGCAGTGCTTGGGTCAGTGATGGGGCTTGCAGCCCAGGCCATAAGCAGCAACAGGACTCATGCTTTTTATCCATGCTCCTGCGTAAGAGTGGGATTCTTGATCATCCAAGTCAAAGAAGGAAATTGGAGCTTGTACCAACACTATCCAACGCTCCAAGCTGCAAAACTGTATTGTCATTTGCCTGCTGGACTTCATGTTGGGTGAGAACCCAACCTGCTACACATTATATTGGGCATTTGTAGAGAATTCTAAATGCAATAAAATAGAATCCTAACTTAGCATTTTGTTAACATTACTTATTTAGTCTGAAGACAGGTGACATAATATTGATAACAACAAGAGTATTCATATGTAGACATCAGAAAAAATAAACATTAAATCTACAAACTTACTTATACTTCGGCATTAATATGCCACCTAGGCATGATCCAAGAATAGAAAATCCCATTGCAACTATTCCAGTCCATAAGCCCAGTTCTGCTGGAGAGAAATTGTGCTCCAGCAAAAACAGTGGAAACATGCTGACTGTACCCTGTTCTCCTGAAAATAGACAGCAGAATTGATGTATTAGTCAATATAATTACACACTATTTCAGCAATAATAAATGAGACTGTCTTGTGGTTTGAATAAAAGTATTCTAATGATTTAAAACATTGGATGCAAAAGGATCTTTGAATTCATTAATGCTTTTAGATTGTACACATGTATTATTTCCTAATGATATTTTAAAGACATCTTTTTGATCAAAGCAAGGGTTGGGCAGTGGCAGGGAGGTGTGATTATCTGAACGTCCCATTCCATCAGAATAGTCTTCTTCAGGATCAAACAATGGGAAAACAAAACAGATGTTAGTGTGGCCAACCTTAGTTTCCATTTTTGTATTCCCTCTTTTCTATAACTAGCGCTATACCATCAACAACGATTATGGTTAATGATCTTTATTTACTCTCTGCAAATATGTCTCAGACTTCAATAAAAATACTGGGAACAATTTAACTTCACAGAGAAAAATACCCTGTATATTGATTAATTGTAAAGTGTAACACTTTGCTCCATATAACATGTGCCAAGTTATTTTTATTTTTTGTGCAATTATTGTGAATTTCCTGTAATATCAGGAAAAAGGATCATTTGGTGATGGACAGAACAATACGACATCAGGCATGCAGCATCAACATCAAGTGCCCACAAATATGGTTCTAATTTACTACAGCCTTAAAAAAATATCCATTTTATGGTGTGACATTCCAGATTTTAATGGTATTTTCATTTATAGAATAAGGTAGTAATAACATTTGCACCAGAGCTAGCATGAAAACGAAACAGCATGAAAGAAAATCACTGAAAAATTAATTTATCATTAATTATAGTATCATCCAAAGTTGCAACTATCAATAATTCCATTGAATTTCATTATTTTATTTCAAATTTCATGTAGAGTCCCTTCTTGACTCAGGCAACTTCTAGCAAGACATTTTCAAGAACTAATTGGTGTACAAAAATTTGTGCTATTATATAAACATTTAATCATAGGGGATTGGCAACCATTGTAGCATTTTTGTATTTTGCTTTTGTGATATTGTAACTTAAGAATTATAACAATAAAATCAGTTTTGATAAATCAATCCCACTTCACATTTTCTCAGTAACTCTCACTTTTTACCACAGAAGACTAATTGCTTTTTGGTTCAAATTGCATTGTTCAATTCCTTCAGGCTTCTCTTATTTCTAGCTTAATATTTTAACAAAACAAAAAGTCCGTGGTATTTCACTGCTTTATCACTGTGAGCTCTGTTTTATTCAGATTCTTGAAATTCCCCAACTTTGTTATCACAATAAAATGACTTGCTACAGGTTACATTAAATGAAAGGAGCTTTAATACTGTTAAATCATGACACCAGGATGATTGGTATTTATGTTTTATATGTGGTCCGATGACTCAGCTCTCGGTTACTTACAAACATTGTACTATAACTATCAGAATAGTCATTTCACTACAGGTACAGGTAAACTATTGGACGACAGGGCTACTGTCTCATTAGACAGATAGACGGACAACTGGTGGTGGTTTAACCTGACGGTCACTAGGCCTCAGGCAAGGGACGAGGTTGAGGAGAGTTCTCACGGTAACCTCAGCTAGTGCAGGGATTGAATCAGTGCTGTTAGCATCACTGCATTGCAAACCAGCTGTCCAGCCAACTGAACTATCTAACCCCCAAACATTTCACTATAACGTCCTTAAGGCAGGTACATAATATGCCGATGCAAACAGGTCACTAAGTATCATTTGCTGGATATATCATAACTGTATACTAAGGATAAGGTAAAAACCTACTCCATATATTTCCTTAAATTCTGGTAATTCTGTAAATGTAGTAATCCAGACAGATTACCTGTGGGGAGACTATTTTTAGTAATCCGTCTGGTGCTGTTGTAATTGTGGATTTTTGGATTACTACTAAAGTCTGGTCCCATTGGTTACTGAAACTACAACTGGGACTTGTAACATGGTACTATGATACAATACATTAACTGTGTGACAGACATAAAGAAAAAGTAATCCCTGCACAGTAATCCCCTTCTGGTACCTTACTCTTATTATGGTCTAATGACTGAAAATTATTTCGCTCAAACTATAATCAGTTTTTGTGTATTTCACTGTTTCACATTATTCTCAGAAGCAGATTAGCCAGTCACACCTCTTTAAATCTTTTCTCAAGTACATTACATACTTTATTAATACAAAAATGAACACAAAATGAGTTTTCTGTCATAATAGCATCTCCTAGTGGATCTGCAGTGAATTTCAGGCTTGAGTATTTCCTAATTCATGCTTTGGTATCTCAAATGTCCAAAGTAGACTTAACATTTTAAAGTCATATTTGCAACGGTTTTAGGACAAATGACACATGAAAAGAAAAAGTGCTGATCTGAAATTAAGTTCCACTCTTAAATGTGACTGGATGAGTGATGCATTGGAATGTGAATATACTTGTATTGTGTTCAATTCTGGTTATTACTCTTGAGCTAATACAGTTCCTTAGGATCGACTGGGTTGTATCATGAAACACAATACAAACTGTAAATTGAAATTAGTCCACAGAGATGGATAATATGCCAATACACTTAATACTGATTTTTCTAGTCAGGTTTTACCTTCTACTACCACTGAGTGCACTGTTTCAGCCTTGACTGTGTTTGTAAGACCATTAGACCATAAGAAACAGGAACAGGATTAGGCCATTCAGCCCTGAGCCTGTTTCTTGATTCAATAGGATTGTTGCTGATCCAACATTCCTTACATTCACTTTGCTGCCCTTTCCCTGTAACTCTTGATTCACCTACTGATCAAGAACTTATCTATTTATCACAGCCTTAAATATACACAACGACTCTGCCCCACAGCTCCCTCTGGCAAGAAGTTCCAAATACTCACAACATTCTGAAAGAAATAAATCCTTCTCATCTCAGTCTTAAATTGGGACCTCTTTATTCTGAGACTATGCCCTCTGGTTTTAGACTCTCCCATGAGGGAAAACATCCTCTCAGCATTTACCTTGTCAAGCCCCTTAACAATCCAATACGTTTCAATGAGATTACCTCTCATTCTTCTAAACTCCAGTGAGTAGAGACCCAACCTGTTTAACCTTTGTTCACAAGACAGTCCCTCCATACATGGGATCATCCCAATGAACCTGCTCTGAAGTGCCTCCAATGAAATGATATCTTTCCTGAAATAAGGGGACCAAAACTACTCACAGTACTCCAGATGGGGTCTCACCAGCACCTTGTTCAGTTGCAGTAAGACTTCCCTACTCTTATATGCCAACACCCTTGAAATAAGGGCCAACATTCCATTAGCCCAATATGCCCATTAGTTCAACACACATATGCTACAAATAAATATTTAAATAAAATTAAGACATTTGGAAGAATAAGACGTACTCAGGTCAATCAGTCACAATAACAAAAGCATAAGTAAGGGTAATTAGAAGGGTTGATCTACTTTTGTGAGCAAGAAAAAGGTGGGTTGTTGTGAGGAAGAAACACAGAGAAACAGTTAAACATTTTTTTCTATCATGTCAAATATCCACAGCCTCCGCACAGTGGCCTGCCCACAGTGTTGGTAGAGGTGAAGTTAGAAAAAGGGATTTTAACAGACCGTTGAGAATAGCAAACCAGAGCTGGGGTTTATTTTTCTCCTCTAGATGATCAGGGAGTACAGGGATTGGACAGCAAACAGTTAGTATTGCTTAGTGGACTGTACTTTAATTATATATCAAAATAAATGTCAAAGTTACAATTCAGCCCATTTGGAAACAGACATTGTCTACCTCATACACCACTACACGTGAGAAGAGAAAAGTAGTTCTGCTGATTAGATTGTACTTGTTTCAAATATCCATCAACGTGACCTACTCCTGTGATTTGGATTTAATTTTATTACACTATATTGTTAGCTGCCTTCCTCTTTACAGATCCTACTTGAGATAACAGGTATTTCTATTTTATTGCAGATTGCCAGCACATATGCATTTTGCTTTGATCCTCAGTTTGCCATCATCTGCAAATCTGACCATTTTGCATTAACTTTCAGTTTGGGCCTTACCTCTGGTTTCAGTTTACACTGTGACTGCAGCATAGGTGCAAAGTGAAGCTGTTTCCAAACAAAGCTGAGGTTGTCAAACTTTCTTGATTAGAGAACCCTTTTCAAATGGATTAGCAATTACCGACACCTAATCTAAATTGTAATACTACACAATATGTTAAAGAACTTCAAGTGGGGTGTTCTAATTATATTTTTATGAAAACAGTATTTAGCATAGCAATTACACACAGTGATGATACAGGCCACATAAATGAGAGACAGAAAGCAAATTGTAACTCCTTTAATATTCCAGCACTTGTCAAATGAGCTGCTTTTAACACGATTAAAGATTAGGTATGTGTGCCATTAACAGGCAATCAGTTTACAAATCATACCCAATACAAACTATTGCCAAATCAATATTAATATCAGATTCATCGTATTTAGATGTTTAATAGGCTTAAAGCAGGTTATTTTGTTTTTTTTTTAAAATACTCCCAACAAACAAATTAGACTTCATCCCTGCTATTATCCTTGAAATGTAGCATGTTTGGAAACACTAACAGATCTAGCCAAATCCAGCCCAGTTTCTTAATTTTATTTATTATTCAAGGAATTTACATTTTTGGTACTTAGAAGAAGATTTAAGCAAGTCAAACTGACAGCTTTTCCACAATTACAAGAATAAAATCAACAAGGAATTAATAGAAACAGAAAATGCTGAGAATACACAGTAGGGATGGGGAGCATTATGGCATCACCTACTCACTGCCTTAGCCCAAGTTGAATGCACCGTATTTTAACAGCAGCTGACCTCCCAGTTGAATGCACCGTATTATAACAGCAGCTGACCTCCCAGTTGAATGAAAAGACAAGATTCATTGCAGGAACCATGCAGCCAGATGTCCATCATCGTGAAGAAGGCCGAGCTTCAGAGTGGACTTTTCAGC